AAGAAAGAAAGAAAGAAAGAAAGAAAGAAAGAAAGAAAGAAAGAAAGAAAGAAATCTAAGTATGGAAAAGCTGACATAGGAACAGCCAAATAGCTCAGCATATTAAAGCGCCTGCTTCAGAGTTGATGCCCTGGCCTGCTGTGCTGGCCCCGCCCCCTGGGGCACACTGAGCCGGGGATTTGAGACTGGGTGTGGTGGTGCATGTAATCCCAGCATTTGGGAGGCTGTAAACAGGAGGATCACTATGAGTCTGATCTACTAGTGAGACCCTGAACACCCTGTATACTCTATCTTAAAGGAAAAAAAAAAAAGAAAGAAAGAAAGAAAAGGAAAAGAAAGAAGAAAGAAGAAAGAAGAAAGAAAAGCTGACATAGGAATAGTCCCATAGTAAGATTAAGAACGTGTTTGATGGCTATTTCCTCAGCACAGCTACACAGTGCACTTTGTCTCTAAGCTAGAGAAGCAGATGAGCCATGGCATATGGTATTGGGTGAGGCATTATCAAGGCAGCCATCGCTCTCCTTTCTTATTTTCAGGACATGGGGAGAACTTAGGATACGGGGATGAGAAACACTCCATATTAGGTAAAATTTATTGAAGGCTGACAGGTTGGCTTTGTAAATATTTTTGTATTTCAGGCTTTATATAAAAATACTATAAGTCTCTTTGAGGATACTCTTCTGATCTTAGTGTCTAAGGACCTCTACAAACTACAGATCTTAAAGGTACGGTAAAGAGAAAATAGTGTTGTTTGTCACAAAGACTCCGCTATGTTTCACTTATTTGCAGTTTGCCATGTATCCATCTCCTTTAAGTGTTTGATGAGTGAAATCTTTTCTATACTGCCAATGGAGTAAAATCACTCACAAAACAGAATCGCTTCCTTTATTTGAAAAATCAAACCAGACTTTTAAGAAACCAGCTTTAGAGGATATCCACAGACAATTGAGCAGCTAAGTCTTGTGTGGCAGTGTCTGAGTGAACACAGGGCGGGGCGGCAGAGAATGGGATTGGACCAAACTATATCCAGGTCCACGTGACCATGAACCATACTGTGATGTGATGGAAACTTGAAAATTAAAATCAACTAGTAGTCTGACACGAGATAAGGATAAAATAAGGTCACGCAGTCCACTCTGTAGCTCAGACTTACTCAGCCTCAACTGTCTAAATCAAAGCTAACCCAAGTCAGCTCAGCTTGACCGCACCCAGCGGCACAGCCTGTACTTTCTCACCCCTAAACATGTACCCAGTTTGCTAGCTTGTTTCAAGGACTTTCTACTCAGCATGGAAGAATAAGTGATGCTACCCAGTAAAAATTTCCCATGCTTTCAAGCCTTTGTACTTCGTGCTTGCAAATCTATATAAACTAAGCCAAAACCTGGCTCTGGGCTGATGCTTGAGGAGTGATTCCACCATCAGCTACTGGCATAATGAAGGTGGTTGTCTTCCAACACACCTTGGTGCAGAGCATTTTCCATTGGGTTTGGTGTCAGTTCCACAACAGTGACAGTCTCTATACACGATTCTTCCCATCACCTTCGAAGTAGGGGATCACGTGTTCAGCCTATTTTCGTGATTACCACTTGCTGTGCTTTGAATGTGTGCCCCAAAGTCCAGACGATGGAAACTGTCCACTCATGAGATTAGCCTTTCTTGTTCTCCTTCCTACTACCATTCTGATTCACTGAACTCTGACTGAAATGACCCATTAGGCTTTGCTTACCCATTCTAGAACTCCTCTCACTCACTTCTACAAACTTCTAAACAATATCAAATCCACAATCTGCTTCCAAAATCTAAACTACCTAGTCATGGAGAGTCACAGCAATAACCTTGCTTCTGAGGTATCGATTTTCCCTATTAGTCAGCTTTCCTGTTGCTGAAACTAAATACCCAACACCTCATCCCCTGAGTAAGAGAGAAAAACGTTTTATCTGGTTCATAGTTTTACAGGGTTCAGCCTATGGTTGACTGGCTCCAACACAGGAACATCATGGGAGAAGGAAGGGCAGGGAACAATAAAACTGCTCAGTTCGCTGAGCATGGTGGCACACACCTGTAATCCCAGGACTCAGGAGGCTGAGGCAAGAGGATCATTGCGAGTTTGAGACTAGTGAGCTCAAGGCCAGCCTGAACTGCATAGTGAGATCCTGTCCCCAAAAGACCAAAAACAAAACAAAACAAAATACCTGCTCAGCTCAAGACAATTGGGAAGCAGAGCAGGGGAACAGTACCAGAGCGGAAGGGGCCAAAGACCAGATGATAGTACCTGAACTCACCCCTCCATGAACCATCCAGACATGCCCAAAAGTATGCTTTACTAGTCCCAGAGGCAGCTCCTAAGCCAATCAAATTGACAATAAACTTAACCATCCAAAATCTTCTTAAGGGGGCCAGTCAGGTAGCTCAGCGGACTAAAGTGTCTGCTTAGGTAGGCCCAGAGACCGGGGTTTGATCCCTGGAGTGCTGCGCCAGCCCCTCCTCCAGAGCACAGAGACAGCAACTGAGACTGGGCGTGTTGTCACCTACCTGTAATCCCAGCGCTTGAGAGGCTGAAAACAGGAGGATCACTATGAGTCTTATCTGTGTAGTGAGACCCTGTAGACCCTGTACTAAATACATTAAAAGAAAATCTCCTTAAGGGTTACTTAAGTGGTCATGATCAGTATGGTGGTAGAAAAAATGGAAAGTAAAGGCCATTTTTATGGGATCTCAGAATGAAATGTGAAAGCAGATAACTTAAACTGGAATAAAGGCCATCTTTGTTATGTAACTATAAAAATATGGAAAAATTTTTCTAACATCTTCTGGAAGGAAGAATTCCAGAGTGGTACACTAGGACAGCTGGTGGATGAAACTGCTAAGCAGTAAAATGTTCAAGGTGCCGCAGTTTCTTCTGACTGTTCACAGTAAAATAGAAGAGAAGAAAAATTATTTAAGGGTAAAATTTATGAAGAAAAGAGAAGCAGAGTAGAAATACTTGGAAAACTTTTAGCTTGGCAATGTGAAAAATTAACACACTTGAGAATGAAGAAAAGTATAGCCAAGCATTTATTTTCTAGAAAGTCTTCTATGAATAGAAGAAAGCCATCTATTCATGAAGACAGTAGGAGAATGACCTTCAAGGTCATTTTGGAGACAAGCTAGGACCTTAAGGACAAGATTTCCAGAGAGATGCCCACAGGACCTCAGCATGCCCTTCCCTGTACTAGCTGAGAGCTCTGTTTCCTGAATTCCAGGAATTCAGAAAATTGCTGAATTGCTCTTTTAGTACCCAGGCCAAGACTCAATGAGGTCATATGTAACTAACTCAACCCACTATTCTGAAAGGTACAAGCCATATACATTGTCGAGATCCAAATCTGCAGGCACATAGAATACATTTTAAAAAAATATGGTGAGTTCTTGGTTGTGAAAAAAGGGCTTTGATTAGTCTTGTCTTCATTTGATGAAGGGAGTCATGGTGGCCTCTGCTTATGTTTCAAAAGATGTCACAGAGAGCCTGGAGTTGCAAGTAGAGACTTGCTGTAGGGGTAGATGCACTGCAGAGAGTGTGGAGCATGGCCGTGGCAGTTGGGCAACTCCAAGACCACAGAGTTGCATGCCACCAACATGAAACTCCAGCCAGAGAGAGCTACAAGCATGAGACTCAATCTGTGCATGTTGCTGGGTAGTCTTAGCCCAGTAAAATAACAAGGTGGGGCTGCCTAGGGCCTTAGGGACCCCATTACCACCCCAGTGTGTGACACTAGTATCAAATGAAGACAAGACTAATCAAAGCCCTTTTTTCACAACCAAGAACTCACCATATATTTTTTTTTAATGTATTTGGTCCAGGGTCTCACTATACAGCTCGGACTCATATTGATCCCCCTATTTTCAGCCTCACCAGTGCTGGGATTACAGGCATTCCCCACCAGGCCCAGTCTTGGTGGCCAGCTCAGGCGCACCCAGGGTGGGACCAGCATGGCATGTGGTGCCAGGGATCACACTAAGGTTCTTGCACTTGCCTAGGCAGACCCTTAGATGGCTGAGCTATCTCTGTGGCCTTTCACTGCATGTTTAATGTCCCAGCCAGAGACAGAAGATGGCAGTGATGGCTTAGTTCTCAAATTGCACCCATAATGTGATGGCAGCAAGCACCTGCTCTCTAGAAGCACTAAGAAAGCAGACTGACTTATCCTATCAGCGAATCCGTGGGTTGTGCAAATTACAAATATATCCAAATGAAGAAGATGGACAGGTATTCTTGAAAATAAGAATTTGAAAAGCAACAAAAGTGTGTAATGTGGCCAAATGGAGCCAAATGTTCTTTGTGCATTTATAAAATGTTATCCTCACAACCTTTTAAAGTGATTCTCTCTCTCTTTCTCCCTCTCATTCTCTCCCTCTCTCTCTCTCTCTTTCTCTGCATTATATATTAACACCTCCTGCTGCTACCAAAATAGCTCACATTTATTGAGCATTTTTGATCAGGCTCTAAGATGAATATACAGGTTATCTTATTTAATCCCTAACATGCTCCTGTGAGAAAATTGCTAGCATTTCTCCCATTTTGGAGTTAAGAAGATAGAGAGAGAAACCCTAATATATGCAGTGCAAATACTATGTGAAGGAAGCTGGCTAACTTGGGAGCCTGTCACTTAACCACTAAGTTTTCATACCCGCCAAGCCTCAGGAAGCTTGATTCTCAGAGAGAGCTGAAATCTCACTCCCTGGGAAGACAAAAGTGGACTTTCTGTGGTTGAGACATACCTTCCTCCTTGGAAAATGTACTTCAAAACAGCATGCCCAATGGGAGCAGGCAGAGGGGATGAGATTTAGCCAGCCATTGGCATAGATACAATGGACTCTAAGATCTGCCTGAAGAAATCTGCCAATGGTGGTTGGCATATGGGCCATGTGTCGCTATATTCCCTCCCCAACATGGAACATATGTCCCTGCTTGTAGTGTTTAGGACAAATAGAATGAACAGAAAGAGTTGAATCAAAATTAGAAGGAAGTTTCTAACTAGGCTGCACCAGAAATGTACTCTCCACCCAAGAATCAGAATATTTCTGGGGGGTGAATTCACAGGGGAATTCTGGGATAGGATGACATTTAAGTATCAGATAATATTTCAATTCTCTCTTAAAGCTGCAAAGCAGTTTCTACAATTTTCTGTTTGCTTTGTTTTGTTCTGTTTGAAATAGGGTCTTGTTGCACCTTGGCCTTTGACTCACTTATGTAGCCCATGCTGGCCGCAAACTCATGGCTTCGCCCCCTGGTGGCTGGGATTACAGGCATGCACCGCCAAGCCCAGCTCAATGGTGGTTTTTTTTTGTTTTTTTTTTTTTTTAATTAGAAATCTTTTTTAAAAAAAATTTATTTATTTATTTGTGTGTGTGTGGCCAGCTCAGCCCACCAGGGGCGGGGCTGACTGGCATGTGGTGCTGGGGGATTGAACCGCAGTCCCTGTCCTTTGTTAAGCTTGTTCTACGTAGGTGCTTTAGACCACTGAGCCATCTCACCAGCCCTCAATGGTTTTTAGAAGAAGGAGACTATGTACTTGGCAAAAATGGAGGTGAAGCAGCTGACTGTCACATCATAGCCTTACACCAAACTTTTCATGGTGCCTGACAAAGCAACTATTAGACATGAATAACTTGGATAGAATTAAATAAAATAAAACCCATATGTAGTTACTGTTGTAGGTGAGATAGTACACTAGGTGCTTGTCTGTATTTTTGAGATACGATTGTGTTACGTATAGATTAATGAGGAGACCAGAGAGACCCCTGAGTGGAGGTTGGAGGGTGGAAGAAGGGGCCTGAGGAAGTGGAATACCATGGCTCTAACGTGACTCTGCCTCTTCCAACAGGAAATGACTATATGGATGAGTAAAGATAACTCGTACCTGCAAGAGAGAGTACTGGTGATTATCTGCAAGGTGTTAAGATTTGCATCCAGGAAAGTGAGAGACTATGTAAGTCACAGAACTCAGTAATGCCACCTGAGTCTGGATTTCTAGCATGCTGCTTGCCGTGTCTTAGACCTTGAAAGCGCTAGATGCCTGCTTCTTACTCTGCTGTAAGTTAGAATACCTGGAAAGGGATCAATATCCTACCCCAGTTTGAGTCAATCAGAGCAGGATTTCTCAAACAAATTGTTTAAGATGCACTGTACTTCACAGCAACAATATGAATGAGTTAAAAACAGGTTTTCAGTGACTTTCTGGACTGTTCTCTGTGGCCCACAATCAGAGTCATTTGTAACATTATAATTTTTCCATCTTAACTTTCCTTCTTAAGTTTTCCTTTGGGGGACCAGCCCTAGCTCAGTTCTTTAAGTGGCAGCTTCCACAATGCTGGCAGCCTCAGTTTGCTGTAGTTCGATCCCCACAACACTCTAGCCATGCAAAAGTGCCCTGAAGGCATTCAAGGAGCAAAACACACACACACACACACACACACACACACACACACACACAAATTCCTTAAGTTTTCCTTTTTCCCTGAGATATTTTTAAGTTATTTACTTTAAATTTATGCAAGCAGTTCTCAAGAGCTTTCACTGTGCAACATTAGAGCATAAGTCTGTCTTCACATTTCTTTCCAAGCCACCCCACCCCTAGTCCTGTCAGTGAGTTGTTCCCAGCCAAGCACACATGTACACATGTACACACATGGGTTGTGTGCACACACACGCACGCACCCATGCTCACACACACACATGCACACACACACACACACACACACACACAGATACACATAGCTTCATTTCCTTGTGTCTCTGTGAAAGTCATACTGCCACAGCAAGCAAAAACACTGAAACGACACCCAGTATTTGGAGGCAGATTTATTTATGTCCACGGACACTGATCAGGATCATTCCCAGAATATCAGGACCTGATCCCTGGTGGTGTAGGGCTTCTAGCAGGAAGTACAGAGGCAGAATGGCTTGTCAAGTGGGGACTGGTTTATACAATGTGTGTCACAGAGACCAGCTAGGCATCACAGTGAAACAGCCATTTCTAAGAGACCAGAAGCAACCAGAAATGGAACAGGAACTAAAAAACTGAAGTATAATGGATGAGCGGGAGGCATTTTCTACTACAACATCATATTCATATATGCTTCTGCAGTTGATTTTTTTTTAACTGAACAATAAGTCACTGATAATTTCATGGTACTGTCTGTAGGTTTATTTTATTCTTTCAAACACAGTATATATCCTATAGTCATTATGTATTATGTATTATAATATACTTAAGTACATTTCAGCTGATGAATAATAAGTTGAAATTTATTTTTTTCTACTTCAAATAACACAAATGGCAATCTTTGTGAAGGGGAATATGTACTCAAATTTTTAGAAAGATAATGGGCAGGTCAAAAAGTGTGAGTTAGGGGCCGGGGAGATGTCTCAGTAGGATAAGCGCTTGACTGGCAAACACAAGGATCTGAGTTCAATCCCCAGTTCTGAAAAAAAAAAAAAAGTGTGAACTTATTTTAGTAGTGCTAATTGTCTTCCGATTTTTTTTTTTTTTCTGGAACTGGGGATTGAACTCAAGCCTTTGCGCTTGCCAAGCAAGCACTTATTCTACTGAACCATCTACCCAGCCCCTCTGATTTTTGTTTTTTGTGACTATTGAAATACTTTCTGACAACTTCACAACTATTGGAATATTATAAGCCCTTTAACTTTTGATTTCCATGTGGCAAACATGTAGTTTTGTACTGAAGTTTTCTAAATTTTAAATGACATCATCCTACTTTCTCAGAAACCTCACATTTTGTGCTGGGCATGGTGGTGCATGCCTGTAATCCCCACACTGGTAGGCTGAGACAGGAGGATTTTTGTGAGTTCAAGATCTGCCTGGGTAGGGGCCGGGGAGACGGCTCAGTGGAATAAGCGCTTCCCTGGCAAGCGCAAGGGCCTGAGTTCAATCCCCGGTTCTAAAAAAAAAAAAAGATCTGCCTGGGATACAAAGTGGGCTCAAGACCAACCTGAACTGCATAGCAAGACCCTGTCTCAAAAACATACACAAGAAAGAAAGAGGAAAGAGAGAGAGAGAGAGAGAGAGAGAGAGAGAGAGAGAGAGAAAAGAAAAGAAAGAGAAAAGAAACCTCACATTATGTATACATTTGGTATTTAGCTTCTGCTTCCCAACTCATCCTTCAAGGGATTTTAAAACATACTCTACTAATTGCATATGTGGTTACTTGAGTTACTTCAGAAATAGTTATATATAAAAGGAATCAAAATTAGGCATTTGTGATGCTACTTTCACATATTGTTATATCTTATATCTAGATGTTTCCCTAAAGACTTGTGTACTCAGAGTTGGCTGGATCTAGGGTGTGTGGTACTAAATTAGTCTGCTGATTGGTTTAGCATAGTTCTGAGTATGGATAATGAAAAGACCAACATTGAGTGTGGGTGGCACCAAGCAAAATACCTGTAGCCTGAATGGAATAAAAAGGAAAGGGAGGCTTGCTTCATTGCTTGCTGCTTCCTGCCTGCTCTGCCATGGACTATTTCTCCCCTGCCACGCCACCTTGCCTTGGAGCCATCTGACAGTGGACTGAAACCCCTGCAAACTGTGAGCTAAAACAAACCTTTTCTTCTCTAACTTTAGGTGTTGGATATTTTGTCTCAGAAATAAAAAAGTGACTGAGACAATATCCATTTTCTACTTCTTGTTCAAACAGACACCGGACATGTGAGACAATAAATCTAGATTAGAGAGCTAAGAGCGTAGCTCAGTGGTAGAGTACTTGCCTGCCATGTGTGAAACCCCAGCCTTAGACTTCAGCAATGCAATAAGAAAAAAGATGTAGATCAGCCTTTTAAATTTTCTCTTCATATTGCTACCAACTCTTGCTCTCAGTTACCCCAAAGTACCTCTCTAGGAAAAGTAACCACTCACCTTAGAGACAAGGGCACCCAGTAGGCCAGGCCTGTTTGCTAAAACTGTGTACACTGAGGCCATTACTGTTAAAAATATGTGCAAGCCAAATGGGGAGGATAGCCATACCTTCATAAATGTGAATCTCTCCTAGGTCCTGCCTCTCTTCTTTTTACCTCTCTTCCATTGCTCTGCTCTTCCTTTATATTTGTATTTCCTTCTCTAATTGCATTTGACCTGACCAGACATGTCTGTCAAAATAAGTCTTAAATATTTGAGCAGTCTATGTGTCAGAGAAGTGCTCAGAGAAAATATATGAATATTGTGGTAATAGTTTTACATCAGAGGCAAATGCTTCAAGTTTAAAAAAAAAGAATTTCTTTAGGAAAAGTCAGACCAATTCCTGGAGGAAAATAAAATTCACATTTCTCCTGTAACTTACAGTGTCTCCTAAAGTGTCTCATATGTGAAAAGGGAACATTAAAGAGTTGTCAGCCGAAAGCACCTGCTTAGGCAAGTGCAGGGACCAGGGTTTGATCCCTAGCACCACTTGCCATGCTGGCCCTGCCCCCAGGGCACATTGAGACAACAACTGAGACTGGGCATGGTGCTGTGCACCTGGAATCACAGCATCTGGAAGGCTGAAAACAGGAGGATCACTATGAGTCCAATCTGTGTAGTGAGACCCTGTAGACCCTGTACTAAATACATTTAAAAAACAAAAAAGAGTTGTGAGTCAGTCGGGTGGTACATGCCTGTAACCCCAGCATCAAGAAGCTGAAACAGGAGGATAGCCATTGAGTTCAAGGCCAGCCTGGACAACACAGTGAGTTAAAGGCCAGCCTGAGCTACATATGGAAGCATTGCCTCAAAAAAATTTATGAAAACCCACACACTACTGTACTCCTCCATATCATAGGAACTGGGCTGGGGAGATGGCTCAGTGGAATAAGCGCTTCCCTGGCAAGCACAAGGGCCTGAGTTCAATCCCTGGTTCCGCCAAAAAAAAAAAAAAAAAAAAAAATCCTAGGAACATGTACCTACAAATTGCTACCTGCTTTATAGAATGGAAACTAACGTTAGTTGATTGCTGTTATCTTCAGCACTTTTCTGAGAACTCTCTGCTATATGTAGCCCCCTTTTCCCCCTCAGTAAGTGTTACAGGGTACCACTTCTCTGCCTTCATTTCACAGATGAGAACACTGAGATTCAGTAACAGAATTTGGATTTGAGTACCAACTTTAAAGCTGTGAGGTTTCTCCTGCAATCCTGTTCTGATCATTAAGGGACAAACTGCAGACATTTAGTATGGACTGTGCATAACAAATGAATTTTCTTCTTTGTTTCTATAGACAAATTTTATTTTATTTTTTTATAGACAAGTATTGACGCTCCATGTTTAGGCGTCCTGGCAGCAGAGCTGTCTCTTCTATACTCCCACACTGATCTCTCAATCGTACAGCAAGCGTCCCTGGCAGTCTATTACCTCCTCTGCACTGCAAAACGTCAGCTGGGTAAGAATGGCTCACCATCTTTTCTAAAGGTCACTAAGAACCTCTCTAATTATTTTACTTGTGAGTCCCTGGGAAGTTCTATGGCTATGAATTTCTAAATCCTGCCCTAGGTTCTATAGATTTGCTTTCTGGATTTGTTTGTTTGTTTGTTTTTGTTATGGTTTTTGGTTTGGTTTGGTTTTTTGCAGTACCAGGATTGAACTCAGGACCCTGTGCTTGCCAGGCAAGTGTTTATTCTACTGAGCTATCTCCCTGGGCCCTTGGTGTGTGTTTTGATTTGGTTTGTCTTTTGGTTTTTGAGACACAGTCTCGTCTTGCTATGTAGTTCAGGCTGGCCTTGAACTCACAGTGATTTTCCCCCCTCAGCCTCTCAAGTGCTGGGGTTATAGGCATGCGCCACCATGCCTGGCTATAGCTGCACTTTCTAACGTGTTATTCCTTGAACTTTTTTAGCATGATAAATAGGGGGCCTGCCCATTAACTCATTTGTTAAAGTGCCTTCGAACCCAGATCCTCACACCAAACCAGAAATGCCCTGAAGGTATCTTGAGGCCACAAAAAAAAAAAAAAAAAAAAAAAAAAAAATCCTGCCATTTTGGGGAATGGAGAATGGCTCAGTGGATTAAGCACTTGCCTGGAAAGCACAGGGGCCTGAGTTCAGTCCCCAGTTTCACCCAAAAAAATAAGTAAATAAATAAATAAAAGTAAATAAAATTAGGGCCGGGAAGATAGCTCAGTAGAATAAGCACTTACCTGGCAAGCACAAGGACCTGAGTTCAATGCCTGGTTCTGCCAAAAAAAAAAAAAAAAAAAAAAAAAAAAAAAGGGGGAAAAAAAAAAAAAAAAAAAAAAGCTGTAGCATGATACATAAATGAAAAAGTGATCAGTTATTGCTACTCCATGGGAGACACAGTTAGTAGCGAAGACATGAATGCGAAGAAAATTCTTGCAATTACGTAGCTGCTAAGTTATATCCAGAATTTACAGAGAACATTCAGTAAGCAAAAAGATGGCCAAACAAAAAAATTACAGTTGAAGTGAAGCCATTTCACCAAAGAAATGCAAATGACAAAGACTCATCAAATGATGTTCAATATACTGTATAAGACTGGGCGGGGTGGCACATGCCTGTAATCCCAGCTCTTGGGAGACTGTAAACAGGTAGATCACTACGAATCTGATCTAGTAGTGAGACCCTGAACACCCCGTAGACCCTTCCCTAAATACTATATATATAATATACATATTGTATATATATTGTATATATTTATATATATATGTACTGTGCAGTCATTAAAGATATAGAAATTAAAGCTACAGCGAGATATTACTATGTACCCAGTAGAATGTCTAAAATTGAAGCCGTACAATGTGTTATTTAGGATGTGCTAATGCAGAATGTGCTGGTGGGGTATAGCATACACTCTGTTGCTAAGGACACTCAGCAACTGGAACCCAAATGCTTCTACACTGCTGATGGAAAATAATTCGGTACTATCCTAGAAAGTTAAACAAAAGCTGCCATGTGATCTGTTCATTCCACAACTTGGTATGTTCCTGAGAAAATGAAGGCTAATAGCCATGCAAGCACCTGCATTTCAGTGTTTGTTGTATGTAATGTGTCGCAGCCCCAAACAGGAAGCAACCCGAATGCCCATTCATGGGTGAATATAGGAAGAGGCTGTGCCATAGGGAATAATACTCATCAGCTGACAGAGGGAGAGAGAGAGAGAGAGAGAGAGAGAGAGAGAGAGAGAGAGAGAGAGAGAGATTCACTTTCTGATGTCCCCTGCACTTCCAGAGTAGCTATCTAGCTTCTCCTTTTATGCTCTTTTCCAAATAAACCATCTTCCTTTAGAAAAAGAAAAAAGGAATGGGTTCCTGATACATAAGATGATACGGGTCAGTCTCAACAGCTGAAAGAGCACACACTTCCCGACTTTGCTTACGTAAGATCGGGAAGGCCAACCCTGGCAGAAAGCAGAGCAGCAACTGGCCTGGAGTGGAGGCAGGTGGAGGAGAAGGGCTGAGAAGGTGCAGGGCAGGAGGAGAGTGGGAGGCAAGAGACATGCTCCTTTCTTGATTGCGGCAGTGTGTTTAATGGGTGCACACAAAGACAAAGACTTATTGAGTTGCATACTTTAATTGTTGCATGTCAGTTAGATTTCTATAAAGCCATTAAAAGAACAAAAGTCTTTAAAACCTACTACCTTTGGAACTAAAGACATTTCTAATCTGAAGCTTTTACTGAGAATTTTTGACTTTCCTGGACTATCACCTCTCAGCTCTTTTCAAAGTGCCATCGACTTTGTACAGAGCGTGGTGAAGCACACCTGTAATCCCATCATTTGGGAGGCTGAGGCAGGAGGATCACATGAGTTTGAGGCCAGCCTGGAGACTACATAGCAAGACCCTATCTCGAAATAAAGAAACAGCCTCCAACTTTATTCTCTGATGAATAAACCCTCTAACTTAGTAATAGCTTTTCCAGGACACGAAGCAATCTACTATTTGATGACTAAAATATATACAATATCAGTCAATCTATTAAAATTATTTGTGACCTTAATTCATATTTCACACAACCTCTTATTTATTTATACCAGGAATTGAACCCAGGACATTGTACTTGCCAGGCAGGTGCTGTGCCACTGAGCTACATGGCTTCTTTTAGACAGTTTATAAATTCTGGCTCAGTGCCATCGTGATATTTTATGTGACTAAACTATTTGAAAAAACATTCTAAAAAGTTCAGCTCTCTAGAATTGGTGGAGGAGAAGGGGTAAGAAGGTACAGGACATGAGGAAAGTTGGAGGCAAGAGGCATATTCCTTTCTTGATTGTGGCAACAATCATAGGAACAAGAAGTTGGCGATAGCAATGTCATTATCAAATAAAAACCTAGAAATCTTTTCCTTAGCACAGCAGACTTCCAACAAACAGAAAGCAACAATGCAGTATTCATGTGGAAATTCCTGTGCCCTGGCTTCTGATTCTGAATTCCAACCTGGGATCTTGAAACAAGATAAAACTAAACTTGCTCAGGTATCTCAGCCTCTACTTTATCCTGGGGCTTTCTTCTCGTATGTTATTATTCTTAGTGGCAACTTCTTTTTTTTTTTTATTAATTTTATTGAGAAACAAATAGCAATGAGGCAGTTTAAAAACAGATTAGTAGGATTATTGTTGTCTTTGTAGTGGTTATTCATAATACAAGATACAGACATGATATCCTGTCCATACACTATTGGTACAAATTTTTCTTCTCATTGAATTGAGAGAAAGTAGCTGTATATCTATCCTAACTATTTTGTATATACAGATACAAAATGGTCCTTCATTTATATCCCCCTTTTTTTGTTCAGTTTTGTCAGAGATAGGTATTCCATTGCCATTTAAATATTGTAGGTGCATGAATTCAGCAAAATAATCTGGTATAGTCCAGTAGTCCATAATAGTAGTGGGTTATCTGTAGGACTGGCAATATCAGAAGTTGTTGACTTGAGCCTTTTACAGCTCAGCATATTGATATGGCTTTACTTTTTTTAATCTCATTTTTATACTTTTCTGCTAGATGGTTAAGACCAAGATAAAGCAAGACCTATATAACAAGAAATGTAACTTTTGTATCTGCCAAGGTCAGTCAAATCCCTTCAGGATTTACCATGAAACCCTGTACCACAGTTTGTAGATCCTTTTTCAGTGTTAGCCATGTGGATGAGTCACAGCTATTGCTTGACCAATTTGCTCTCTGTGAAAGCCTGATAGAATGTTTTCTCTCCATGTGACTCTCCTTAGGCACACTCTACATCATCGATCACTTTCCTCTGTGGCCCCATAATCTCCTTGATCAGTAAATTTGGGACACACCTGAGTATATGATGTTACAGTACAGGTTCTCCTATGTCCTGAGTCTTCACTGACCTTGAAAGGCTGGGGCCAAAATGTTGGCTGTCTTTGCAGCCCTTCTTTTTCCCTAATTTTTGGTCTGCAAACTTAAGTTGTTAACCCTCCAGAAGAAAAGGTTAATGATATTATTACCCTATAACACAGGCAGTTGAGCTTAACCTCACTATCTGTCTGAATATCAAACATCTTAGACGTACCATGACTAAGCAACTGCACTGAAGATAGCAATGTGTAATACTAGGGTCTTGCTTGGATTTCCTGTCATTCTGGTCTTCTAAATATGTGCTGCTTTTCATGTTATACCAGTTACTGCCATACTGCTTCTCAAGTAAATGTTTGTTTTAAAAAAAAAAAAAAAAGGGTAATAAATGAAAACAAGAGACAAGAAAGAAAATTTTCATAAGACTGTCCTGCTACAATGTGTATATGGTTAGATTTCTAAATTTCTGTGTATGGGGCTGGGGAGAAGGTTCAGTGGAATAAGTGCTTCCCTGGCAAGCAAGCGCAAGGGCCTGAGTTCAATCCCTGGTTCTGAAAAAAAAAAAAAAAAAATCTGTGTAAAAATATGTGATTATTCATTCCTATTTAAAAATAATTTTTTAAAATTTTTCTCTTCACATTCCATAGGGATTTAGAGTTTAACATATCAATACTTAGTGGCAATTTCTTTCAACAAAGTTTATGGTTTTTGTTGTTGTTGTTGTTGTTGTTTTTGTTTGTTTGTTTGTTTTGCAGTAGTGGGGATTGAACTCAGAACCTTGTGCTTGCCAGGCAAGCGTGTATTCTATTGAGCTATCTCCCCAGCCCCCAAAATTTGTTTTCATAAATATTTTTCTATTTTAAAAATATAGCTGAGTTAAAGGGTAAATAATATACAGAGCACTTGGTTTCCTGATTTCCATCCATATTAATAACAACAATGCCTAATTTTCTCAAATATAAACATTTATATTATTTTATTTAGTGGATATGCAACACCAATGAGAGAGGTGTTTCATAGTTACATTTCCTTCTGTTTCACTAAAACCAGAGAACATCTGATTATTTGGCAAAATTAACAAAGTCACCAATTAAGAAACTTTTCAAAATTATCGGGGGCCTGCCCCTTAGCTCAGTTCTTTAAATGGCTGCTTCAACAAAGCAGTCAGCCTCAGATTGCTGTGGTTCGATCCCCACAACTCAAGCCAGCCAAACCTGCCCTGAAAGCATTCTGAGAAAAAAAAAAATCAAAATTATCATCATTTACTTTGCAAAACTCAAAATGATAAGGGGCTGGGGAGATGGCTCAGTAGAATAAGCGCCTCCCTGGCAAGCTCAAGGGCCTGAGTTCAGCCCCTGGTTCCGGAAATAAAAAACAACAACAAAAAAACAGAAAAAAAACCCTCAAAATGATACTCTGACTTAGATTTCATTTAAAAGAACTACAAGATTACATACCTGGTGGTACAAATCTGTAATCCCAGCACTCCTACCCAGCTTGAGGCAGGAGGATTGTTGGAAGTTCAAGACCAGGCTGGGCTACAAAGTGAGCTCAAGGCCATTCTAAACTGCATTACTCAAAAAGATTAAAAAAAAAAAAAAAAGATAATTTACTGGAGAACCTCAGTACCAGGCAAATAATTTTTACACTGTTGTATCCCTTGTACCCATGAGATCCTGTTCTGAGCCCTCACTCACCTCCTTCAGATGCACAGATTGATCCACAGGCTGAGATGTCATTGAGCCCAGAATCTGAGCCAGCTTTCAGTGGTGGGGAAGCCCTTCAGGGTTGCTCATCTTTTGGGGTGGAAGGGTCTAGGGGCTCCTCATAAAGCTCCATATATATCAGTGTTTCTCCTCCCATACTGAATTTCTGGGAATTGTGGGAGATTGGGGATTTGCTGAAGCAATGAGACCTCATGGTACCAGCAGATAGGCCTCAGTCCTTGTGTTTATTTACTTGTTTGTTTGTTTATTGTTTGTCTGCAGTGCTGGGTGTTGAACAAAGAACTTTTTTACTGAGCTACATCCCAAATCTTTTTTTATTTTTTATTTTGAGATTGGGTTTCCCTAAATGGATAAATTACACAGGCAGGCAACTCCCGGAAAGCTGGGGTTACAGGTGTGTGCCAACACACCTGGCTCAGTGCTTGTGTTCTTGATGAAGGTAGTAAGCCAAGACACAGAACAGCTTTGTGGAAACGAAGACAGAACTTAGTAGAAAAAGGAAGTGAGCCAGAAGCACACCTTTACAAGGCAAGCAAGTGCCAAGATGGCAGTTGCCCCAAATTAAGGCTCAGAGTACATGAGTATGATTCAGTAGGCCCGCAGGGGAGCATCATTCCCTTCCTCCAAAGTCATTTTTCTGTTACAAGGACAAATGGGATTATTTTAATTAACTTTAAAGAACAAAAATCTGTGTAGGTGGAATGTTTCTAGTCATTTTGAGTCTTTGCCCAAGGTCTGGACATGGTCCAGGCCCTGGATCTGATCAGCATGCTCAGAAGAGGTTACCTTCTTTGGATTCATGTCTTGAAACCATAAACTTCTTTGGATTATCAATAATTAATAGTTAAGAAAACAAGGGGGGAAATCACATGTTTGTTTTTCATATAGGCCCCTCATGTACTCTGCTAATGTCTAATTCCCTGCCTAACATTCCCCCAAGAGTTCAGACCCTAAAATCACTTAGGCACTGGGACACTGCATCTTTTTGTCTACTTCCTGCTAAAAGTAAGGAATTAAGGTCCCCACTTTTGCTGTGGGGTCTGCTACAGGGGTCTGTCACAGGGCCCCAAGTTTACATAAGGCTAATCTTTGTGACATGGGACCACCTGGAGATGGATAAATTGAACCTGTAACTGCAGATCACCTCAGGCTTTCTCCCCTTACTGATTGTCAGGACTTTAACCACCCTTTCTAGTGGGCCAGTGTAGAGGTCCTGGGAGGATGAGTGAGATTTGGGGGGCGCTGACAGCTTGATATCCTTGAGAGAACCCCATTTGTAGTTTTTTAGTCTCAGTTTTGGACTACACAAATTTAACAAAGAGGCTAAACAGAAGTGGACTGAAAATGAGAAGTAGCATAAGGCTTACTGGAGGCCTCCTGAAAATGGCTACCCAACGTTTCCAAATTGAGCTCCACGCGTTCATCCAAGGTGGCTTTTCCTCTCAGCTAATAGGCCTGGCATATAAGGCCTGGTTAGACTTGCTTACCTAGAACAGCCCTTCCCGTGGAGCACGGGCAGATCCCTCCTTCTACCGCCACAAGCATGCCTAATCTTGTGTTTGTCGGCACTGCAGCCACTAGAGAGTTGATAGGGGGTTGTACATCAAGGAGGTTGTCACGGGGGCTTCTCACTTTTTTGCTAGTTTCAGGGAAAGGGAGTGGTAAACTAGGGACTAAGAGATTAGTCTTCTCATTCCTGTTCCTGCAGGTGTTCTTGTATACCTCCCAGGGGTTTCTAAAATCTATAAAACATTCAAAGGATGCTCACATAATGAAATACTTTTTACAGTGTGTGGGGCAGGGTGGGAAGGATAACAGGCCTAGGTCCCACTGTATCCCAGGGCACAGGATGAGGGCTGCAGAAATAACTCCAAGGCAGCACCCCAGAGGTTCATGGCTCTCCATTCCACGTGAGCGCAAACTAGAGCTGGGACTCAGCAGCTAGGGGAATACTAAGGAAAACGTTAGCAAGCTCCAAAACACAATGACAGAATTCAACAGGCTGCATCCTTTGTTCAGACCAGGGAGCAGCTCAGGCAGAGCAGCGTGGCAGGCCTCCACCCCACTTAACTCCATAGCCAGGCTCAGGAGCCATCTGGCTTCTTTCCCAATACTGAGCTGTCAAAAGCAATGTGGGTGCGGCAGATGACTCTTACATCCATCTGGCAGTTCATAGTCGCTGCTACTAGCTGCCTTTCATGGGACAGGTAGCTTTCCCAGCTCCCATTCTGTCCAGCTGTGTGCCTCTGTCCTCTAGGGCAGAGCCCGCCCGTTTTAATCTGCAGCAAGATGATCACCGTTATTTGCAGTACGCTATTTGCAGGAGGAGTAAAAATAGCATGTTCCTAATAGGGAGAGTTGTTCACCACACATACAAGTTTGTGTTTTGTTTTCTCTGTAAACATCTTAAGATCTGAATTCTCCAGTGTGAAGTCTGTCAGATTAGACTCAAGCTGACTCAGGATGAATTTAGGATCTTGATGGAACTTTTTGCAATAGTTATCGTCAAACACCATCCTAAGAACCATTCCTTATAACTTCTTGACTCTTATTTACCTTCTGGTAGGCCCGACGCAAGTGAATCCATCATAACATTTGTAACTCTTACGCTTTACTTAATATTCACCTCTTGTTCCTGTAAGGATTTCTCCTAGGGTATTGCTGCTGGGTCATTGCTTCCATTGTTTCTCCTCACAAGAAGGCTGTTCCACTTGCTGGTCTTATGTGATCCCCTTGGGGACAGGAAGTGCTTCATGATTGAATCTGCATCATAAACCCTTTCAGCCACATTTGAAGTTATTTAAAAACTTCATGGAGGTTTTAAAAAAGAGTAGCTCTTAGGCTTAACAAACTCAACAAGAGCAAAGCAAACTGAGGAGAGAGCCAAACTTGATTTTTGTTGTTGTTGTTGTACTTAGTACAGGGTCCACAAGGTCTCACTACACAGATCAGAGTGGTAGTGATCCTCCTGTTTTCAGCCTCCCAAGCACTGGGATTACAGGGGCGCGCCACCATGCCCAGTCTCAATCGCTTTCCCACCGCATCCCGCGGGTGAACCCTGGTCCCTGGGTCTGCCTAAGCAGGCCCTTTAGTTTGCTGAGGTATCTGGCCAGCCCCAAACATGATTTTTCAGTAACCCTCATCCTCCACATTTTTAAAAAACTTAATGTAAGCTTTTGAGTTGTCTTTATCATTCCTTTTCTCTTTTGGAAAAATCTACATATTTTACTGTAAGAGAAAATTTTATTTTATTGTATAAAATTTTTCCTTGCCAAAAATATTATCCTCATATCCAAATACTTTTATGTCTCCTATCTGTCCTATTTGGGTTTTCTTTCATCACAAACCAATGACTACTTAAATTTTAAAATATTTTTGGTAGTAAATTATTCCTTCAATCTCAGAGTTTACTCAGAGATACATTCCAATTAGGACTGGCTGAATAATACATTTTTAAGTAAGCTAGAATAACAAAATTACCTTAGTACAAACAAGAAACAACAAAAGGACAACTGAACTTTGTAATTACAGTTTAAGAATTATCCTAAAGCTATCCAAAAAAATCTTTTTTTTCAGAACTGGGGATTGAACTCAGGCCCTTGCGCTTGCTAGGAAAGCGCTTATGCCACTGAACCATCTCCCCGGCCCAAGAAACTTTTTTAAAATATCAACTAAACAAAAGTATCAGTTTAAACTGAAATTCAAACATGAATGTATCACTCAGCCAATATGTTCTCCACCTACTGTCATCAGTACTGTCATGCACCTTTAGGGATGGACAGCATCCCTTGTGGCATTTTATCTGGATTAGCTGCTTTTTTAATCACTGGGAGGGGTTCAGTAGTTTGGAAGGACTCTGGCCCCAGCATGACCTGCATGCATGCCATTTGTCACAGGGTTAGCTAATGGGACTTCATGGGTTTTTGCAAGTACCTGTGCCACTTTTGTGAAGTGTGATTTTGTGCTACCTCACAAAAAAGAGGGGCTTTGCCAAAGGCCTTTAATTTAGCCTTTTATTAGTTATGTTGCTTTCATTGTCACTGAAGCTCAGGGATGAATTCTGCTTGCGGGGGGGAAAATATATATATATATATATATACAATGACAGAATTCAACAGGCTGCATCCTTTGTTCAGACCAGGGAGCAGCTCAGGCAGAGCAGCGTGGCAGGCCTCCACCCCACTTAACTCCAT